CCAGTCTTGTACACGAATCTGTCTCGGACAGCAATGATGTTGGTTCCGTGGCACTATCTATCCCGTTGACTTTCTCAACTAAAGCTGTCATTTTTAAAACAGTCTTACGTTTCTTGGTTCCCAATTATAAGCTCCACGTTCCACGTATTATACTGATACATAAAAAATTTCACAGTAACTAAGACACTTGATGGTAACTTCAGGTTCACGGCCGATGTTTGCGAACAGAACCGCACTTGTTCAATGAACTTTAAGAATGAAAAAAATGCAACTGTCTCTTTCACGCTTTATTCCTTGTCTTTATTAGTTACAAGTGAATTTTATAAAGAAGCTAAATGGAAAATTCATTGAATTAAACAAACAAATGATGCTACTCGTTACCTTCATAAGAGTGTGGGTTATCACAGAACTGATAAGAGCCAGTACTTAAATACATATACAATCACGAATATTTTTTTAATGTTTAAGATTCGCAGATGTGAATGTCAATTAACACGTGGCGAACTAGAACTAAAAAAAAAAGTTATAATAGTAACAAATAATAAACTTCGTATTTTTTGTACAATCCGTTATTTAATAAAAGTACTTTGGCTTTGTAATGCATTAAGTCGTCCATGTTCAATTTATGTTATGACTAGGGTTTTTATCAAATTTATTCACCAACTAAGTTTAATAGCGTGAAAATATATAGCGTAAAGCGTCAAGTAAGTTGTAGGGTTTTTATTAATAAAATAATTATTTAAAAATATGTTGTAATTGTTGACATCTTAGGCAACAAAGAAGTGTGTGTTTACGCTTTATTATAATAGTATAGATAGACCAGCAGTGAAACGGTCAGATTGAGAAAGTTATAAAACTAATAAAAACACGCTAAATTATCGTGATGAAGTGGCATGAAGCTGAATTTATAAAAATCGTCAGTCACTAAAAAGAGCCTATTACTGGCACGACGTCTAAAGGAAAGCACCCAAAAGGTTATGTACCGTCAACAAATTTAAACACAAAGATTTGATCAGATCAGAAAAATTGAATTCTATAAGTCTTCCAGCATTTTAAGTGTTGAAAACCTAAAACCGTTACTGTGTCCTACTGTAATAATGCCGAATGATTCGATTTTATTTCTCAATTTTCTAACCTTACTTCTTCTTCTTCTTGTAGACAATTTCACATTTTGAATAAAATGTGAAATTGTCTACAATGAAATATTAGCGAAGTTCGTAAAATGTAATGGTGCGTCGCTGACGTCGTGTAATCTTTCCACTCTATTTAGCGACCCCCACCCTCGCACACCCGCACTCGCCCCTACCCCTGCCTGAAGAAAATTATGTCTTCTTACTAATAAGATCATTTCCCTCTCAACTTATAATTGGATTTAAGAAATGCCACGTTTTAAATCGAACGATTTGTCACAATAGGATTCGCTGATTTTTATCATAACATCACAAATTTAATCGAAATAAAGCATATCCAAAATGTGGATTTAACGGTGGAGGAGACGCATCGCAACGGGAAATGTCCTCTTTATGTGCGTCTCCTCCTCTGTCAATCAAGACAACGCATCTGCAATTGCGAATGTTTATGGGTAGCGGTTGCTTTCCATTTCGGTGGATTCAGGTGGTCGCTTGCTCGTTTGCCACCCTATATTATAAAACCCCTTTCAAAAGTTAATAATAAAGGTGTACAGATAAAAACAACAGAGCCCTAATAGCGATATCACAACTAGCGATAGCCCCCCTTAGGGACACCTATGGGACGGATGATCTGTCTACTTCCACACGAAGGTACAGGGATCCGACAACAATAGATGTATAAGAAAACTGTTTAAACATCTTTATGTCTAGTAATCGATTATTGATTATGAACGTTGTAACAATCTATGTCTACTATAGAGTGTCACTTGTTTCATATGCATAATATTCAGACACGTGTCGCCGGCACATAGAATATTCATTGAATACGTCACAACACGTGGATGGTTTTACATGAATTAAGAATACATAAACAAGTTTTGTTTAGCGAATACTTCTATAATAATAAATAAAGTAACAAAAATAAATTATATGTTCTAAGTCACTGTTGACAAAAATTTATTTGTAGGTGTTTTTTTATTAGCAAAGGTCCCGCTAGAGGATGTACCCATCCTGTCTACTCAATATAGGAATTACCTTGTTCACGGTTAAGTTTAACAACAACGATCTAGGTCACTTCAATACTGCATTTTTTATTATTATTCTAATTTCGAAAATAATAACTTCATATTTAAAAACATGTGACAAACGGATTTTTAAAACTATTCTTTTTTCAAACAACATAAAATTAATACCGATTTCTTTTATTTCCTCTCCGTTTATTTGACAAAAAACAAACGGGAAAGAGACAGGCGATATTTTCCTTATCGCATAAACAGCTGATTCGAACACTGAGCTTGCATAAATTACAATATCGATTATCTTGACAATGACATGCGAATACTCACAAAAATGCTTATCAAAAACACTCACTACACGTTGGGTGTAAACAGTAACTCACAAACACAGAGTTGCCGCTCAACTCTACCAGCAAACGATGACTAAATTGATTCCGATGGTCCGATGCATCGAACCAATGATATTAAGGCACACACACTACGAATACAATATTAAGTACAATATTTTTATTATTTAGAATTGGTCCTTAGAGGTTATGTCGAATGTGCCGCTTGTCAAACGCGGGTAACACTGCGCATGCGCGAATACTAAATGTGGATTACGTCGGATTTGCCATTACTAATCATGTTCATACACCACAATGCTACGCTTTATTTGTATTATGTTAGAATCATATGAAAAACGTTATTTGTATCTTGTAGCACACTAAGATAGATTACACACTTATTGAGTACGGCATGTAGTCACTTGAGAACTTCGGCTATGTGTTTTTATAAGAGTTTTAAGTATTCCATAAATATTAATTCTCAGAGAACAAGCGTTTACAATTTGCAATCGTTCCCTGTACAAATCTCAAGGGTAACCAGTTTCCAAACAAGCTGGTCCCCATGTCCTTTTATTGTCTAAAAAAAGGGTGGCGATACCACTATAAGAGTGGGGTATTGCAAAACCAAAGGCTATGATAACGAGTTTATGATATGAGAGTATGTTTCCTTCATACATTGCGTTAAATAACTGTTTGTTTTTCACATCTAAGCATCTAATGTTATGTTAATTAATTTGGGTGAGTCACAAGAAAATTAAGTATTTATCTTAACGCCTGATGAAATTAAATAGCAGGTTTGTAAAACGAAAATTCATAGCAAATAACTGGATTTAGCGCGTTTAGATAACTTGCAACTGCTGTTTAACTTCGCTTATTTAACTTCAAAAAAACCTGAATTACAAAAAAATAATTATTCATTATTAATTCTATTAGATCTTTGTTCAGAATAATCGGCCTCACCTATCGAAGTGAGAGAGCAAACAGCAGTGAGGTCAGGTGGCCTGGTACAAGATTTTCCACTCAGATCTCAGACTAAATGCATATTTTAAATCTGTTTGTGACTATTATAGGTAAATATATATAGGGTAAACCGTATATGTATCCTGCATCTCTAGATGAAATTCTTAAACATTTGACATGAATATTAAAGCCATATCGTTTATTCGGATAGTTCAGTATCAAGTCGAACGGATTTCCGAATTGAAGCGCCGGAAATTTAAGCCCATATATCTCGAATACCTGTCAGATATGCTCAGTTGTGACAGTTTCACTATAGTCGTGGGTTTCCACTGCAGAAATACATGTACAACTCAATAGATAAGTATTACAAACACATCAAATGCGAAAACATGAAGCTAAAAATTATTGATTAACTAGCTTTTTCCGCGACTCCGTCCACGTGGTATTTAAAAAATAAAAGTAGCCTTTGTGTTCCTGACTATCCTCTACATTTTTGCCAATTTTTTTTGAGAATTGTTCAGACGTTTACGCTATAAACTATAACATCCATCCAAACTTCTGCATTTATAATATTAGTAAGTTTTTGTGTAACTTACACTTGCATATTATAAATCTATCTAG